GGAAGGAGGAAAAAAAAGTAAATGCGATACAAAGCATAAGGACTCAGCAGGGACTTAGGAGATAAATGGATACACAGAAGAAAATCTAAACTGTGTCTAAAAAGGAAAATGGAAGCTGAGGTAGGAGGTTGTGCAAGGAAACCATTTTCACAGATACCTCTTCATTCTGAGGGAGATACGGATGTCTGGTTCTTTAGAAAATTAAGATTACTCTCTATATGCTCATTTTTCTTACACCTGATATCAGAGTTGAAAAATATCAAGGGTATGAGTCCAAGTGAGGAAGGAAATCCTATACATATGACAATTACAGTTCAAATTAAGCACACTTAGGCCATCATAAAATGATAAAACCAAGTTTTATTTTAATCTGCCAAAATGAGATTTAAAGATTAGACTTGGGTTTTCTTTGGTAACCTCCCCTCAACCCTGGAACCATTCAATGTCACCAATGCCATAAAAAAGAAACCTTGGCCAACATTTATCTACAAAGTTGCTTTTAAAAATGGCAGTCCTTTCTCCTTGACCCATCTTACAAACGTCTACCAGATGGTTCCTCTCCATTCTCTCCCCAAAAGAATAAAAAATTACACCAAGAGTCAGTATGAGGGTCAGCTGTATGATATTGTCACTAAGCAGGAATGCACATTTTCAGCTGTTTCATCACCTGTAGAGTAATTAATAACCAGCCTCTTAGCTGCCTAAACAGCTCAGCCACCTGCTGAAGGGAAGTAGGATGGAGAAAGGTCCTCAGTATAGGTTTTCAGTGTTGGTGCTCCGAGGGGTCTTGATCTTCTCGATGTTTTTGAGGATTACATCGTGCAAGGTGGCATACTGGTTCCGTACATGCAGAAGTGTCTGGCGCACACTCAGGTACTCGTTTTCATCGACCTCGGCTACAGTGCGGCGATAATCCTCCACCTGGGGGTATTTCACCATCTTGGATACCAATTTGGCCCGGGTGTTGTAGTAGGTGGAGAAGCGGCGTAGGTAGGAGGCTGCCGAGCTCTCCACGGTCCACAGCTGGTCCACGGCGTCTTCCTGAACAGACACTCCGAAGTTGTTGCCATCCTCCACCTTTGGGATGAGCAGCTGCACCCACATCCGCACCGTGCTGCACTTCTCTCTGAGCAGCTCAATCTCAGGTTTTACCCGTTCAATCAGCTCCACCAGATGCTGGTTGCTCCGCAGAAGCGGTCCCTTGTCGCCTGGCAGCGCTGGTACCTTGCCCGAGGGCTGGGAGTGCACGGGCGGCGGATCCTGGTCGGACCCATCCCCCGCAGTGTCCGGGGCGGCTAGCACCGAGCGGATTCTGGGCAGGTCTTGCAGGAGGAGCTCCTGGACCTGACTATCCAGCTCCGACAGCTTTTGCGGGAAGAAGACGGACACCAGTTCCTCGGCCTCCCGGGCAATGCGGGCCCGAAACGAATCCACTTTCCCCTGTATGTCCTGCTCCAGCTTCAGTGGGGAAGCCATGACCTCCGGAGGCGTGGGGAGCGGGGCCGAACGAACCGGGGTCTCTCCCTCCTGGGCCGGCTGGACTCGTGACTCTGCCGCGGCCAACTCCCAACAGACCACAACACGCCACGCGGGAAGGGATGTCCCGACACCCCGCGCGGGGCAGAGGGCGCCGCACCAGGCCACACCCTGGCCAGGCACCCAGCTTCCAGGGGTCCAACGGAGGCTGTGTGCGCGGAGCTTCTGGGGCCGGCTGCTGCGGTGTCCAGGACCCCGTGTCAGGGGCACCCTGCGTCCCAGAGCAGCCCCTGCCCACCTACTGGTGCGTAGGGCGGGAAGCCGGAGCGCCAAGGGCAGTTCCAAAGAGCATCGTTACACTGCAGCGCCCTAAGACCAGGAGAGGACAAGTCGGTGTATTTTACACAGGCCCTCA